CTAAAGCCACAGAAGTGCCACTTCGGCTATGAAGAACTAAAATTTTTTGGACATGTAGTTAGCGCAGAAGGAGTCCAGCCCGATCCAGACAAGCTTGCCACTGTTGCCGAATTACCAGCTCCTGTCGATAAGAAAGTTGTCCGGCGCTTTCTTGGTTTGTGCGCCTACTATCGCCGGTTAGATCATGGCTTTTCACAGATAGCAGAACCTCTGACTCGTCTCACAGAGGGCGACACGCCGTTTGTCTGGGAAAACGAGCAACAAGCAGCTTTTGATGAACGGCGACAGCGCATGCAATCAGCGCACGTTCTCGCTCATTTCGACGATGATGCTGACATGGAGGTCAATACTGACACTAGTAACGTTGGGCTCGGTGCAGTGCTCGTTCAGCGTCAAGAGGACATCGAAAGAGTGATAGCCTACGCCAGCCGGTCTCTATCCCGTGCCGAGGTGAATTAATCCACTACGGAGAAAAAGTGCCTCGCAATCGTGTGGGCAATCACCAAGTTTCGCCCGTACCTTTATGGCCGTCCCTTCAAGATAGTGACGAACCACCACGCCCTTTGTTGGTTGGCAAGCCTGCGCGACCCTTCAGGACGGCTAGCATGGTGGAGCTTGCGGCTGCCGGAATTTGACGTCACCATCGTCCATAACTCCGGCCGTAAGCATGAAAACGCTGACACACTGTCACGCGCACCCATCATGCCATCTGTCAGGAAGCAGAGGAAGACGAAGGCTTCCTGGGCGCCATTAGATCATAAGACTTGAGCAAAGGCAGTGAGATGACGCAGAGATTTGTCCGATCATTGATCATTTAGAGGGACAGGGCACAATCATACCACGTCATTTATTCCGCTGGTTGACGTCGTTCTGCCTTCGGGACAGTGTGCTCTACAAGAACAACGCTCGTTCGAACAACCGTGCCTACCTCCTGGTGGTTCCTCGAGACATGTGAGACGACGTCCTCTTTCCTTGCCATGACGAACCCACATCCTGTCATCTGGGCTACTCACGCACACTTGCCAGAGTGAGCGAGAGGTACTATTGGCCAGGACTTTCGGCAAGCGTCAAAAAGTACGTCAAGAGCTGTCGGGAATGTCAGCGCCGAAAGCAACCGTCTGTTAAGCCAGCTGGTTTGCTTTAGGCCATTGAAGCACCTTGCACGCCATTCGACCAAGTCGGCATGGACATTCTCGGGCCATTTCCCCTGTCTGCGGAGAGCAACAAATGGGTGATCGTCGCGACCGACTATTTGACACGCTACGCTGAAACCCAGGCGATCCCACGGGCCACGGCTTCTGAGGTAGCACAATTTTTCATGCGCCACATCGTGTTACGACACGGCGCTCCTTCCAGGATACTAACGGACAGAGGGACGACATTCATGGCGTAGCTTATGGACAAAGTTTGCAAACTGAGCAACACCAGACACCGAAAGACAACTGCGTACCACCCGCAAACTAACGGACTTACCAAGCGACTGAATGAGACTATCGCAGACATGATCTCAATGTACATCGATGTACAGCACAAAACATGGGACCGGATCTTACCTTACGTGACCTTTGCGTATAATACCGCCGTGCAAGAGACCACGCGATTCACGCTATTCCGGCTTCTCTACGGCCGCGAAGTGCAGATCAAGCTGGACTCTATGCTACCGTGTCAAGACGAAGACGAGTTGGCAACTGACGCCGGAGAATGAGGAAGCGTGGCAGCTTGCGCGACTACACATAGGCCAGCAACAGCATACAGACGCACGGTGCTATAACACCCGCCACAGAGGAGTGTTTTACAACCCCTAAGACCAAGTTCGGGGGTGGACGCCCATCCGCCGCCGGGGCGTTAGTGAAAAGTTACTGAGCCGGTACTTTGGCCCATATAAAGTGTTACACCGCGTCAGTGACGTGAACTACGAAGTGTTCCGGACTCAACATCGCAGACACGGTGCAGGACACGACCGAGGCCGGACGTCGTTCATGTGTTGCGCATGAAACAATTTATTGCGCGTTGTTCGTAACTTTTTCTTTGCCTTGCACAGTTCTTTTTGTTTTTCATTTATTTTTGTGAACTTGCTTCTTCGTTCATTTATTTTTTCTATATTGGCACGCTCTTCAATTTCTACTTTTACTTTACCCGAATTTCCAATGTCTTTTTTTTTTCACGTGCCTATGTCGTAATGCCGGGGTCGTGCTATGTACTTTTGTTTCCCTCTTTTGGAACTTTTTTTCTTTCCGAAAGGGGGATAATGCCACCCACACGTAGTGGTTCGACTGCAAGATCGGCTCTAAATCTGGAGGAAAAAAAGAAGATCGCGTGCTTCTTCTTGACTCGAGAGCCAGCCGCGACTGACGCATCGTCCCAGAGCTAGCTACTCGGTGGTTTAATAAACCCCGAGTACTTGTGATTCATTGCCCCGCCACGGTGGTCTAGTGGCCAAGGTACTCGGCTGCTGACCCGCAGGTCGTGGGATCAAATCCCGGCTGTGGCGGCTGCATTTCCAATGGAGGCGGAAATGTTGTAGGCCCGTGTACTCAGATTTGGGTGCACGTTAAAGAACCCCAGGTGGTCGAAATTTCCGGAGTCCTCCACTACGCGTCTCTCATAATCATATAGTGGTTTGGGACGTTAAACCCTTAAAATCAATCAATCATTACTTGTGATTCATGGTAACACTATGAAGTAAACACATAGTACTGGAAAATACTAGTACAAGGCTGAATTTCTATTCACTCAGAGATAACGTTTAGCAGATTCGTGAATTAGAGTCAGCGTTTTGCTTCAACATGCGATCTTCCACAGGCAAAGCAGTTCAATGGGCTAGGTTTGAAATTTGTGACCATATCTCGCGTGGTGTTTTGTAAGCATTTCGTTACATGACAAGGGAAGGATCGAACACAAGAGCGAAAGGGAGCAACAGCCAATAGGCGAGCTGAGAGGATGAATTTTTGCGTTCACTGCATGAAGAATGACAAGAATAATATAGCTGAAGAGCCTTATTTACAGGCATTGTTGTTAAAGCATCATACTAATAAGCAGGATTTCTTTGAAACTTTGTGTGTTTTAATGTTTTAAAGGAGCTCCAAGTGCCGTCGCGATTTGACGAGTCATTCAGCCTTCATTTTCTCCAAGTATCGGCGCTGTAATGGGGTAAGTCAGGCACAAAACAAGCTCATTAGATTGAGGCATTTGCACTTTGATCCAGTTCATGTCTCTGGAGACCGTTTTGTAACAATTATAATTACAGATATTTGAGCCCCTGCACGTTCTATGCCTGCTCTGTGGCTTTTCTCACACCTTCACCATCAGAATAGCCTCGAATAATCGTGTGCGGCTCCCTCTCAGTCTTACGCTTGATCCCTCCTTCGTTTTGTGACAGATTGCTCACGAAACAGTCTCCGCCACCCTAAAACGTAGAAATGCGTTATATCGAGGGTAAAAACAAAGAAAAGAGTAAAACAATTTCTACGAGCTAAGATATTTCATGATAATGTGCCCACAGTATTTCTCTCTGGGACAAAACGTAAAGCCGACATGGGAGGTTGTAGGCAACAGGCACATTTAAACTTCGGGAAAATATGATTCCAATTTCAAGACGGGCGTATCGGTGGTGGCGGTACGCACATTCTAGGGGGTCATGCCAGACGCTAACGCTATAAAGATAGAAGGCGCTGTATAGACGGCGGCAGACAACAAACTCCCCGGGACGGCTGAAACAATGAAGTTATCTAAATTAAACTTCTACGCCAAGCTATCTGTGACAATTCGCGAAGTATATAGGGCCTTAATATTTTGTAGAATTTGAAAATATTGGCGGAGCTTGCACTGAGTCACGCAAGACTGCGGCAGATTAAATCTTGTACGCACTGGACTGTTACTAGGTTTGATTAGGCACACGTACACTAACACTTTGATACACAAAGTGTTCATATAATCGCATTGTAAATCACGAGTATCGGCTAGGTATCGATCAGTTTTGGCAATAGTTTGAGAATAACAGAGCCAAGTAAATTGGCCAGCTGAATTGGACTGAGCAGCTTAAGTGTCCAAATTTGCATATTCAAGGCATGGTCTTGATTAGCATGCATGCCAAATAAATCCGGGCGTTATTAGCTGATTATCTTAATTTCCACTAACCAAGCTGTCAAAATTAGTCTCCATTAGGTTTAGCTTGTAAACGTTTGCCATGCTCGGTACGACTGGACACATTATCCGCGTAGTCGAAAACGCTCATTTACTTGAACTTGGCTTGAAACCACCTACAATGCAGCGCGTTTGAAACGCCTCTGTGCGTTTGTGCTGCCTTGGCACCGCCTTAAGACAGCGCATTCGAAACGCGTTTGTGCTGCATTGAAGTCGGTGGCAAGCCAAGTTCAAGTCAATCAGCGTTTCTGAATATGGGGGTAAAATGTCAACTTGGCCTATTTATAACTAATTGGTCTTTTCTCCTAATTATCTTACGTTTACTTAGCTAAGTAGTTTGTGAAGCCGTAATTAGGTTTTCTTATATGATAAATTTCTTATAATTAGACACAAGTATGCTGAGCACTCACCGGCAAGATGAGTGTTTTTTCTACATTGCGTGTCAGACAAACGGCGGGCGCAATTGTCTTACTGTAATATCTTTGCAGGGCGTTCCCGAGAAAATATGTGATATAATTATGCTGCATGCCTATGTGCAAGGCTCTATAAATTCCAAATACCTGGCGTTCTCTAACGTATACTGAAATCTTAGGAAATGAACTGTAGCATTTCGCTTCCTTCGAAATGCGCGAGTATCGAACCCACTTCTTTCGGTTATGCGACTGAGCACCATTACCTCTGAACAACCACGGTGGCACGAGTTCATATGTGTAATGCTCACGATTTCCTACTACTCTACAAGCCAGTCATGCAAAGGCAAACATCTGTGGGGCTTTTTGTTACTCATATGCCGATGCGAAAGTGTAGTCTCGTAGTGAGAAGTTCACGTATTTCTTTCTATGTGCTTTGTTGTGTAGGTGCGCAGGTGTTGATTCTTATAACAGTTCCTGTAGTGCGGGACTGCGTGGGAAAGACCTGGGACGATTTCCATTTTGCTGCAACTCACGGATTCGTCGTGAAAACCAGAGTAAGTACAGCTTTTTGGCTTTTATGAAAAGAATGGAGTAACAGTATATTTGCAGGGGTTTGATTAACTGAAATGAAATTTCTGACTTAATAATGAGGATTTAAGATAGGTTGCCTAAATAAAACAGTGCCCCTTTGTATATTGGAAAACTTAAGCGAGCGTTCTTGTTTTTGTCGGGTACACCATTATGCTCTAAGTAAGTCACAGAATACTTCACCAGCGACAAACGCCAACGCGTTCATGTGACGGCTATGACTAATACATATTGGCACATTATAAGCGACAACGAAAAGAATATCCGCTACCAAACAAACAGCTAGACAGATCTAAAGAAACAGATTGGCGAAGATTGCAAAGCAGAACCTTTTCAAATCCAGTACACCTGAACAGAGTAAATTCCAGACAATACCCACAAACAAGCTGTACCCTCTGTAAGCACGAACACGCAGATATGGCACATATTCTATGGCAATGCACACAGGTCACAGTAATATACCGAGAGGACAATATAAAACCGGACCTTCTCGAGGAGCGTTGGCTAAGTGCACTGACTAGCTCAGATCTGCACAACCAACTGTGGGCAATCCAGCGGACCCGGACAGCGGTGGAAAGGCTACGCCTCACCGCAAAAAAACGTCGGGGTGGCCTGAGCCCGGGCCGGTAACCCAGCAGGTTTTTTTTATTTTGTTAATAAAGTTATTTCCGTCCGTCCGTAATAGAGAAAGCTCAACGCGTTTGCAATCTCGGAGAATCAGTATGTCGATTGTTGAGCAATACAGAGGTGAGACACTTATTCAGTGCACGATGTCACACATATGCCGACGCGCCTTAGTGTGCCACTCGGTGGCACAGTATGAAAAGGGGCTATGGTAGCACAAAATGAAGAACAGCCTCTAAAAATAGCGTATGTCGAGAGCGTAATGATTACCAATCTAGTTCAGAAAGGTGGCACAATGTGTTAAGACTCCAGCAATGCGTCAAAACTTTCACAGGGTGACGCTATGTTTAACGCTTCCTGCCACCACGTGAAAGACTCGGAATGAATTCGATTCGAGTTAGCTCGGGGGCAGCAGAATACTTGCACTAGTAATGAGACCCGACGTTGTAACCGCTTTTACTTGCTTTTTCGTTCTTGCGAATTTTTCTTTTCATAAAATTTTTGATGACGCTGTGTCTTACGCTTATGAAAGAAAGTGCCGGCACTGAATAATCAACCTCTACGTCTCAGAGCCTATTGAGTCGGGGTAAAAAACTAAAAGTTAGGTTGGGGTAAATATTGAAGAACGTGGAAGGACGATATTAATGGAAGAAGTGTCAGCATTTCTTTCACCATAAAGATGCTTTTTTTTAAACCCATCGCCTATGTAATACCTTTTTTTGGTGTATTAAGAGCACATGTAAGCAGAAATATTAAAGAAAATCTTTTTTCTTCTTGTGTTATTTGAAACCTGTGGCCTTTTCGGAACCAGAATTAGTCGTTTGTTTGTGAGTTGTTTGTTTTTCTCTGAAAAGTACATAGCGCAAAACTTGTGCGGTGGCCTGCCCGGTACACGATCACTCCAGGTAAAGTCCGAGACCAGCCAAGGTGTACGACCTTCCCCTCCTCCCTGCTGCGAGATAAGGGCGCGTGAGAGAGCGTCGCTCCCCTTCTCTAAGCCGGGCAAAGTACGCGTAGGAGATTAGAGCGGGCGCCGCCGCACGATGTGTCGACGTGCACTCATTGCACCATCTTGCAGGTAATGCTGAAAACACAATGACCCCCCCCCCCTCCTCCTCAGATGCTCGTGAGAAGCGGTAAGTGGTAGATGTAAGTAGCTTACCGTTTGAACGGTGAATGATGTGCTCCGGGGTGGCTCAGTGGTTAATGCCTCGCTTTAAAGACGCAGAGGTCCCACATTAGATTCCGTGCACCGGAGTGTTTTTAAGGCAATGGTCTTTCTCGGAGACCTCCGACGGAAAAATATTAATCTGTCTGTCTGTACATTGGTCTGTTCGTCCACCCTTACCCATAGAGAAACATGCTTACATAAAGAGCGGACACTCCCGTAGAGAACTGCGGCCCAGTTACTGCGCTGCTTTCAGCGCCACGAGTGGTTGTTCAGACGCGATAATGTATTCAGCATAAATAAAATAACAAAATTTTCTTCTTTCCGACGATGGGATTTGAACCCGCAACCTCGCGCTCGGAGAGCGAGTGTCTGTTCCACTAGGCTACACGCCCATGGTTTCGTGATGGGTAAACATGTACAGCACATCTAAACCACATGAATGTGCCTTTTTGTGCAAAATAAATGCAAAAAAACAACACTTTTTGACCGTGCTTTACTCTTTTCTGTTGTAATTCATGAAATGTGCTCAGTTGGACAGAATGTAGAGCAGACAAGAGAAAATTGCACAAATTAACAAAAATCATTGCGAAAAATTGATGCCAATCATGGGTATTGATTGTACTCCTGATAAGGCTAATACATTTGTTAAAGGAGACATAAAAGCGAGGATGGGTATGCCATGTAGCGGTAAGTCAGACCCTTCTTTGCTGGGCCGCGAAAAGGCTCCAGTGGCCACTCTTTATATACTATATTCGTTTATGCTTAACTGCATTCTAAATGGCACCTAAGTGACCAAACGATACTCTAAACGGCCTACCCCATCCGCAGCGCCGACCAATATTGCTCCAGGTTCAGCGTTCATACTTGTGCGATTGTCAATTAAAAAGCAGTTATTGCGCATATCTGAGGCAACATAACAACACGTCAGTATAATGTATGTCTATTTTTGCTAGAAAAGACCTACATAAGTAATTATAAGGACCGTATCGTTTATCACGCTGCGCCCACCATGGAATGCTTGCACGAAAAGGCCCGTGTTTCCAACGCTTTGCTAAGACGACACGGTAGTGGCACCTACCCGTCGCCTTGCGTTCTACACCTTATCACCTCAGGGACGGGCACCCCGTTTTACGGGATTACTGCAATGTAGCACCCATGTCTCACGTGTGACGTGACTTGATGCGCTTTTTCGCCTCCACTGCAGGCTCGAGGCACTCTAACGCAGCACCTCCAGAATACCATTCACCTGTTTTCTTGCGCAGAACATCAAATAAACATTTTGATCTCTTTCTTCAGATGCAAGACTATCGTCTTTCAGCGATATTTGCAGTGTGTAACATGCAAATATAGAGCCAATTTTTGTTTTTTTTCTTTCTAGCGTTTTCATATATATAGATACGTATACATATACGGTGCATGACATCGACGCTGACGCCGGCGGCAAAGTCCAACTGAGAGTGTCCATATGTTTGCTCTCGCAATAAAAATATATTGGTTTTTAGTATCTGGTTGGCGCCTATTGAATGGGTATGCCAATTTGCTGTTTTGCAGTGTAAAGCGTGCAAACTTGGACAAGTTGGTAGTACATAACTTAAATACACATAAATAATTAGGTCTGAGAACCTAATCGAATTGCCAGATGGTAGCTCATTTGTAAGTCCCAGTTAATACATGTGATCTTTAAACAAACCTAGGAGACTAGGGACAACTTCAAAATCAGAATTCGAAGAATCGAAAAACACTATAAAATCATCGACAAACCTATAAACCTTCACAGCAAGATACAAGTCAAGATCTTTTTGAAAGTGGTGGTCCTTATGCGAGATAAATATGGCTCTCAAGACTGGTGCCAAACAAGAACCTACGCAAGCGCCACTTTTTTTGAACAAAATGTTGCTGATTCCAAGACGCAACGGTCGACTTTAAATAAAATGAATGTAATTCTAAAGAACCATGCACAGACCGGCATACCTGAAGGAAGGAAGGAAGCAACAAAAAGGGAGAAGGCAGGGAGGTTAACCACAAAGACATCCGGTTGGCTACCCTACACTGGGGGATTAGGGAAGGGGACAAAAAAGACGAGAAAGAGGGAAAAGAGGGAAAAAGGGGGTGGGGGAGAGACTGACAGTTTTCACTGCAGCGTGTACAACTCTACCGCATGTCAGAGGCGTTCACACAAGCCTGTCTTTCTCAGGAAACACAGCAGGGCTTTCACTTTCTTGTGGGCTATCGAGGCATGTGTACGTTGCTGTAATAGCCCCTGCACAGAAAGAGGCCGATCATCCAGTCGGCGCATTGCGTTGGCAAGTACTTGTCTATCTGAGGCAAATCGAGGACAATGGCACAGCAGGTGTTCGATATTTTCGTCGGTGCCGCAAACATCGCACGCCGCACTGTCAGTAATTCCGATTAACGTGGTATAAGCTTTCGTGAAAGCAACTCCCAGCCAAAGGCGATAGAGAAGCGAAGCTTCACGTCGATGTAGGCCGGGTGGAGGCCGGAGTTGTAGAGAAGGGTCGAGCTCGTGCAGTCGTGTACATCGTATGCTTGATGTGTTTCACTCAGTCAGTGTGAGACTGCGGGCCAGTTGACGAATCTGCCTCGCCGCATCCGCTCTTGAAAGCGGAATCGGAACGCTGTTCGCTTCTTTATGTGACGTGCGAGCAGCATGATCTGCAGAATCATTGCCGCCTATACCACAATGCCCACGTAACCACTGAAAGACGATGTCATGGCCTTTTTGTAATAAAAGGTGGTGAAGTTTCACGGTTTGGTAGGTCAACTGGTCGTGGCATCCGCGCCGGAGAACTGATATCAGGCACTGTAACGCTGGTTTTGAGTCAGAAAACACAGCCCATTTACCTGGTCTTTCTTCTGAATTGATGTGTTCCAGTGCATTGCGCAGAGCCTCGAGTTCTGCCGTCGTTGAAGTTGTCACATGTGAAGTCTTAAAACACCGAGTTACCCCTTGTGATGGTATAACCACTGCTCCACCTGAACTAGACGGCGTAGTAGAGCCATCCGTGTAAATGTGCACGTGGTTACTGTAGTTTTCTTCCAGTAGGAATAGACTCAGTTGTTTCAGGGCATGTGTCGATAAGTCCAATTTTTTCCTCAATTCCTGGAATCATTAAGTGAACTCGCGGCCGGCTCAAGCTCCAAGGAGGAAGC